GGGGCAGACGTCCTAACCATTGAGCCATCGAACTCGATGTCTAGCCGGTTGTAGATCGGGAGTATGTATATTATTTTGTTTGTGCACATCGGGAGTATATATTATTTTGTTTGTGCACGTCGGGAGTGTATATTATTTTGTTTGTGCACATCGGGAGTATATATTATTTTGTTTGTGTACGTCGGGAGTATATATTATTTTGTTTGTGCACATCGGGAGTATATATTATTTTGTTTGTGCACATCGGGAGTATATATTATTTTGTTTGTGTTTATTTAGCCGGTGCACAAACAAAATAATAAATCGTATTTTATTTTGGATACCATAGGTATCGATTATATTGTATGGTATGTTGGGCTCACGTAAGTGCACACCGTTGTTGCAAACGCCTCAGAACACCCAGGTTGGAGTAGTTAACCTCTGGAATGTGGCCGAACGGATGCAATAGGAATTCTTTTACATGCATAGTAGCTCAGTCTTGTGGTGTCCGACAATAGAGTACCCAGTTCCTCACAATGCCTTTGAAAGCGCACCCGAGTTTCGCCGACAGCCGGGACTCTTTCCAGTTTGTGATTGCTACCTAGTTTTATGTGAGCGTTCGCCCCCAATTTGTTTTTGCTTATAAATCGCCTTGGTCACTGAAACAATTCATGAAGGTTGTTAAAATGTACGGTCGCTAAAGATACATACACTAATTCTTTTTATTCGCATTGCGCTCAAAATTAGGAAACGTTGACAGACGTCCTTGGATATATTCCTTAATTTGGATCTATTACTTAAGTGATGTTGCAAGAAGGCTAAACTGGACCACGCTTTTAAGTTCCAATTCGTAGATGACGTGGTGACACTTAAGCGAGAGGGTTCTCGGTCGTCTTTGCTCTTTTTTTACTTAAGCCTTAGTAAGTTACATATAAATAGTAGTAGAAGTGAAGATGAAGACTAATCCACCGGCAGATGTTTACTTGAGGTCTGGCGTTCCGAGTAGGGTTATTTCGCATACCCCTCTTTAGAGCATGGAAGTTCATGCACACAGCTCTCATTATATGGCACATCAAGCAAAGTGAGCTGAGCCCGTAGCCTGAACCTTTTCTATCGTTTGTCGACCATGGAACCGATATTTTTCGCCGACCTCATTTGACCCTGTCTATTGGGACTTCTGAAGTTTTTTGGGAAGTCGGTATTTACAGTTTCATTCAATTGCCCAGCGACCGGAATTGTCTTTGCTGAAATGCGCACACCGGGCTTGCTACGCTTGCGACAGGCTAGCGTGCCAATTAGATGACTCTCCCCAGCCTCCAGTGACCTTTGTACCTGTCCCGATGTCAAAGTCACGACTAGTAAATGCAAGGAACTACACTCGGTGCGTGGTTAGCTAAGTGATAGAACTGTACACCCTAATTGCAACGTCAGTCAAAATATACAAAGTCCAGATCCAAATCTTCCTCTTATTTGATCTGTACCGACAACAGTATCAAACTGCTCTCTATATTTTAATTGTTTTTTTTTCTCGCGAGCTTTTACTGATCATGGCTGCATATTGTCGATGGGTAACGCTTAATTCTAGCCTTTCGGGGACAGTGTGGTCCCTAGCTTAATCTTTATTGCGCTGATTTTTAACGCGGAAACTGTCACCATCACGGCTTTCTATCCTTTCTCGTTATCTTGTCGCACGTACGTAGCCTACTAATATATTGTAAGTAGACATTTAATCGTATATTAAATTGGGCTCCCGCTGCTGCATGCCGTCTTAGCAATAACATAGACTCCCTCTCTTATTTATCGCAGGTGGATATCTTCATTTCGGCGGGTCTGTTACTGCAGGCTAATCAACAGCTTAACCTCACGGAAACCCTCACCTCCAAATACCACCTTATCTACTTCGGACATGTGGTGACTCTGCTCAAGTATGTTGTCAGCGTGCTGACCAAACTGCAGACTTCCTGCAAGCTCCCTCTGCCTCTCTGTCTCTCCTCGCATTTAACTCCAAAAACCAAAGATAGTGAGATGCAGCTGCCTGACGATGTCTTTCATGCGCTTCAAGCCGTCTGTCATCAGGCAGATCCTGGCTTCTGCATGCGCCTACTCAATCTCATTGCTTGGGTCTGCTGTGTTGGAGGAAATCGGGAAGGTAGGTTTTTTCTCCCCGTTTATTGTTCTGCCGAACAGCGTTTTGATTCACGCAACTCGCTGTATAACCGTCTTTCTTGGCTACTGTCCAGTTCTAGGCCAATGGGAGGAACACCTGCGAATGTCCGCCGGCTTCTTCGCCAATTTGGGTGACCGACAAGCCCTTCTCAATACTTGTGGGATTTTTGTAAGTCCTGGCCCGAGTGACAAAGTCTTTTT